TATGTATTCATGAAAAAAATACCTTAAGCAAACTAAGAATAAAAGGAAACTCCTAATAAAAGGCATCTACAAAAAAAAAAAAAAATACAGCCATCATTTTAATGGTAATGGAGTGCTTAAAGATTAGGTATAAGGAAAAATGTCTACTTTCACAACTTTTACACAGTATTCTACAGGAGGTCCTAACCAGTATAAAAGGCAAAAAAAATTTTTAATTTTAAAAAAAAGCATGCAGATTAGAAAGAAGTACGACTGTCTTTATTCACAGACAACACGACCTTCTATATGAAAAATGTTAAGGGATTTTTTAAAATATCACTAGAACTAATAAGTTTAGCAAGGTCACAAAACATAAGGTCAATATACAAATTATTAATTGCATTTCTATAGACTGGTAACAAGCAACCAGAAATTGAAATTAGAAAAATACCATTTATATCAGAACAAAAACACAAAAAGTCTAGGAATAATTTAACAAACTATACACAAGACCTTACCCTGAAAAATTATAAAACACAGCTGAGAGAAACTGTAAGTCTCTCATATAATGAAGAGATATCACATGTCTATGGACTGGAAGACTCAACATCAATAACACATCAATTCTCTCCAAACTGATATAAATTCAATGCATTCCAAATAAAAACAACAGCAAGCGTTTTCTGTAGAAACTGAGGAGCTGATTCTAAATTTCACATGGATGTGCAGAGAACCTAGAATAGCTAAAACAATTCTTTTTCAGTAAAAAGGATATGATTGGAAGAATTACATTATCCAATTTCAGGTATTACTGTAAACTAGTCATCAAGATCGCATGGCCATTGACATAAAACTAGACACACTAAGATCAGTGGACAGCAAAGTCCAGAAACAGGCTCACATATATGTGGCTCAGTTGATTTTCAACAAAGGTGGCAAAGTCAATGAGGAAAGGAAAATCTGTTCCACAACTGGTTTCAGAGCTGCTATCTATACGAACAAAAAATGAACCCCAACGCTTCCCTCACATCATTCACAAAAATGAACTCAAAGTGGATCATGGATGTAAATGTAAGAGCTAAAACTGTAAAACCTCTAGAGGAAAACACAGGAGAAAATCTTCACAACCTTGGAGTAGGTAAAGATTTTCTAGATAAGACACATAAAGACAAATCATGAAAGGAAACACTGATAAACTAGACTACAAAAAACTTAAAAGCCTTTGCTTTTTAACAGACACTGTTAAAAAAATGAAAAGGTGGCCAGACGGGGAAAAAATGGTCATAAAACATGTCTCTGACAAGGCACTTGATTCCCAAATATATGTATTTCTAAAAGTTCCTGCAACACAATAATAAGACAACCCAATTAAAAATATTTGAACAAGCATTTCAAAAAGGAATATACACAAGCTAAAACATGTCTCTGACAAGGCACTTGATTCCCAAATATATGTATTTCTAAAAGTTCCTGCAACACAATAATAAGACAACCCAATTAAAAATATTTGAACAAGCATTTCAAAAAGGAATATACACAAGCATCTTTACTCACTGGGGAAATGCAAATTAAAACTACAAAGAGATACTACACATCTGCTCAAATGGTAAAAGACCATAACAGGTATTGACAAAAGTGTGGAGCAACTAGAGTTCTCCTGTCTCACTAGTGAGAGTTTAAAATGAACAGTGCAATCACTTTCAAAAATATTCTGGCAATTTCTTCTACAGATTTAACTTAAATATACTTTTTTATTTAAGTTATATATACACTTATATGATGACACAGCAGTTCTTCTCTTAAAATTTACCCAAAGAAATGAAAATATATCTGTATACAAAGGCTTGCACACAAATGTTCCTAGCAGCTTTATTCAAAATAGGCAAAAACTGGAAACAACTCAAGTGTCCAACAACAGGTGAATGGATAAACAAATGATTGTATATTCACACAATAGAATTCTACTTAGCATAAACAGAACCAAACTATTGATAGATGTAATGCCACAGATCAATCTCAGAAACATTTTGTGCAGTCAAAGAAGCCAGACGCAGAAAAGCACATACCACATGACTGCATTTTTATCAAGAGCTGGAAGAGACTAAACTAACCTACAGCAAAGAAAGCAGAGGGATTAACTGCAAAGGAGTACAAAGGAACTTATCTTAGGGTGCTGGAAACTTTACCTTGATTGTGGTGATTGTTACACAGACAGAGTCACTTATCAAAACTCAAGGAATCTGATGCATTCATCGCATGTAAGCTATACCTCAGTGAAGCACAGGCTTGCGCAGAAACACTGAATACTAATATAAATACTGGGTAAGAAAAGAGAAGGTCATGGAAACTCCAGGAGAAACAAAGTATGGTATAAGAAAAGGAATGCAAGCTGTGAAAACAAGTTCCCAGTCATAGTAACAAAGTCTGACCATGGATGTGCTCAAAGTTGTCCACACCACCCCAGGAGAGCAATGGGGATAGAGCAGGAGGCCACACGTGTGACCACAGGAGAGTGGTGGGGATGGAGCGGGAGGCCACACGTGTGACCAAAGAGAGTGGTGGGGATGGAGCGGGAGGCCACACGTGTGACCACAGGAGAGCGGTGGGGATGGAGCGGGAGGCCACACATGTGACCAAAGAGAGGGATGGGGACGGAGCAGGAGGCCACCCGTGTGACCAAAGAGAGGGGTGGGGATGGAGCGGGAGGCCATACGTTTGACCACAGGAGAGTGATGGGGATGGAGCAGGAGGCCACATGAGCTGTACTCATCATCTGTGACAATCCTAAGTTAGTAGATAACGTCTCCTGGTGACAGGTCAGGAGCCAGGAGATAGAAACTAGAATAAACATATAAGGAAAGTAATGCCTGCCTGCTGAGTATATGCAGATCATCTTCTATGTACCCACGAAGTCCACCAGCAAACAGAGGCAAGAGCCACCTGGGAAATCATTTATAAATATATGGCAAATATATGACAAACCTGATCAAGTAGAAGAAAAAAGGAACACATCCTCTTCCCAAAGAAATAGAGGCAAAGACAATGAACAAGCAATTCACCATAAAATAGCCAAACATATATCTATTTTTTTTTTGACCAGTAAGGGGATCGCAACCCTCGGCATGGGTGTGGTCCACACCCGCCATCCCTATACAGGATCTGAACCCGCGGCCTCGGTAGTACCAGCGCCGCACTCTCCCGAATGAGCCACTGGGCTGACCCCATATATCTATTTTTTAAACTTCAACTTTACCAATGAATGAAAAAATAAAAGACTGTTTTTCAGCTTTCAAATTGGCAAGTATTTTAAAGTAATACTCTATATGTGGGAAGACATGGAAAAGACACCTACACAGACTAACAATATGAACAAAATGGTACAATCTGTATGGTCGGATCTGGCAATAAAGAAAAAAAAACAAGCAGACGTCTTTAGAAACACTTCTATGGCAACCATTCTCCTAGCAGGATAGCAGCCTCAGGGAAATCATCAGAGGGAGGGGACAACCCAGCCTCCAGCAACACCGAGATCACAGAGGGCTGACTCTGCGAATCTGACCCCATGGGAAGGTGCTCACTGTATCTTCCTGGGAACAAACCTCAGCTTATACCAGAATGTATGATACGCTCCCAATTGTGTTTTTAAGTATATGTTACATACAAATAAATAAAAACTCGAAGAATTATTATCAAAATATTACCCACTATTAAGAATGGTAAAATCATGGGTAATTTTTATTTAGTTGTTTGCTCAGCTACAGTCTCTAAATTTTCTATAATAACCATGTCATTTATTTTATAAGGGGTAAAAAAATCAACAAAAGCTGTTAAAGAAAAGTTAAAATTTGAATTTTTGACTACAGGAAGCTCCTGGTAGGGTTACAGGAATGTCACCCCAAGGTTCAGTCTCCCATGGAAACGAACCAGTCCTGAACACCAGTTTTTAGCCAATTATTTGCAGGCACTTCCCACATACACAAAACCAGGGGACAAGTGAGGCATGGTGCCCCTCACCAGGAGGCACCCTTATGGGCAGGGGGGAGTGGGGCAGAGATGGCACTGGCAAATGTCCACGTCCAAACAAGGGCCTGGAGGCTCCACAGTGAGTCCTAGAAAAGCCAGCGGCTTTCTGCCCTCTCTCTCGTGGGACCACAAGATTTAAGGGGTCTGCCCCTCCACCAGATTCCTCAAACTCACACTCAGGTAGAAAACCAATTAAAAAGTGGGGCAACTGTCTAAGAAGAAGTCACGGCGTGAGCCTTCCCCCTTCCTGACATAAAGACTCACTTGTCACAATGACGGAGGCAAAGGGGCCGGCCTGTGGCTCACTCGGGAGAGTGCGGTGCTGATAACACCAACGCCCCGGGTTCGGATCCCACATAGGGATGGCCGGTTCGCTCACTGGCTGAGCGTGGTGCTGACAATGACGGAGGCAGCCTTCAAGGGGAGCCAGCAAACGGAGTCACTGGCCCAACTTTGCACATGCAAACTGCAGTGTCGAGTCACTAGAAATATCTCAGGTCTCCCATCCAAGCACACTAGCATGCTGTGCACAGAGCTGCACAGTCTATTTCCTCTGCTCTATTAATGCCCTATTTGAACACTTTTGCAAATAAGGAGGCTTAAAAACCAAGGTAATCCTATAATTACATACTACTGAAAATAAACATTCTTTATACATTATATAAAAAATTACACTGTAAATTTCTAAATGTAAAAGGGGAAAATAGTATTTAGCAAGATACTATTATTCTTTTAATAAAAATGCTTTCTAAAATTGAGAACTCCTTTATTACATATAGGTGGATAAGATAAAAATAAAAAGAACTTATTAATTAAGCCATAAGTGTGTACTGCATTTTCAAATATGAACAGTCACACTCCGCTCTCGATGTTCAGGAGAAATGCCTGTTTGCTTTGTTTCACTACAGTAGACACACTCGTAGACACAGAACACTATGCAGTCCCACATGAAGGGACTCGGGCTGGGTCTTGGACTTGCCTTTCTCGGGGACACTCACCTTGTTGATCCAGAACACCATGGCATCCTCGAGGTCGTAGGGAAGCTCTTTCGAGGCACTGAACGTGGAGAAGCGCTTGACGCTGGCCACCACCTTCTCGATGCTGATCATCTCCACAGTGTAGGCCATCATCAGGGCGTCTACCATCGCCATGTGGGCACTCTAGGGGAGAGGCAGCAGCTAGAACCCCCCAAAGTACACCTCTCCTGCCAGGTTCCAACCCAGGGAACCTGCGCACACTCAAGACTCTAACCTAATTTTTTTCCTTATCCCCTCCATATGATGAGATACTACATCTGAGAGCTGTCCTTCTATTTCCAGCCTGACATTTTTGGCCACCAAGCCTCAGGAAGACCAGGAACTAGAGGTCCCTTTTCAGGTGAGGCTACCCCATGACCCGCAGTGCAGTGCTTGATATTCCTTGATATTTCACCTCCCAATAGCCCTGTGAGGTTCCCCAGGTAGGTGGTCGTATTCCTACTTTACGGTCTGGAAAAAGCTAAAGAGGGGAGACCTGCCCTAGGTCATCGGCCCATCAATGTTCTCTGGTGACTGGTCCAGAGCACCACATGCTAACATTATACCACGACTTCATGCCGTTTCTTCCAGAATGCAAGTAACATTCTCTTCCCCCATAGAATGAGGGGGCTGGCCAGTTAGCTCTCTTGGTTAGAGCGTGGTGGTGATAACACCAAGGTCACGGGTTCAGATCCCCATCCCGCAAAAAAAAAAAAAAACCCACCACAGAATGCAAGGTGCCAATGAGCAACCTGAACAAAAGGAATATAGGAGGCACCAAAAGTGCTGAACCTGGGACGGTCAGGAAGTCACATGAGTAGTGTGGCTTCAGAAAAGATGTGGCAGGCGATGGTCAGGAGAGAAAGAGACATACTTTATTGTGGCACAAAAATACTTTTAAAATGCACGTGAAACAATCTAAAAGAAGGCCCAACAATTATATTTCAAACCATCTGTAAAAGGTTTGCCTCAAAATGTTTTATTAGCATACCTCACCTCAATCTCGGCTTTCATAGAGCATGCACAATGAGAAGAAGAGCTAAAAGTAAGCTGCTCTTTTCCCCATTTTCCCAAAACAATTATGAGCTTAAAAAGACAATTTATCAAGGAACGCCACAAACACAAACCCCTGCCGTCTTGCTGCATGCCCACATTCACACCACCTGTCGCCTTAAGTTTCAAGGCAGATTCTGCCTCCTCGTGCAGCTAAGCTGCCAGGGACAGTCAGTGTGCAGCCACAGGCACCACATGAGCCCTGCTTCAGAGGTTTGCCTGCAGGGCGGCCACCACAGACCACTTACCATCTTGATGGGCGCACGGCCGAGGTCAGAGTCTGTCACAGGGGTGTCATCACCCTCCATCACGTAGATCCCTTTCCGGGACAGGGCCTGGATGACTGACTGATGTCCCTGTAAGGTGGCCGCCTGGTCCCCTTTCAGGATGAGGCTGCAGACACGGCAGTACAGCTCACTGGACAGGAGAAGCCTGATGACGGGTGGTTTAATGTGCTCCTGTTCATACTGGTCAATGTAGAAAGGGTCTCTGAGATCCTCGGGGATGTTATCTAAGACAAGGAAGAGATTACCATGTGAGCAAAGTCTCCTGAGCACTACCTGCAGGACAACGATGCACACAACAAAGGTGCAATCAATAAAATGGGCGACTAACAACAATAACAGGTCCTAGGCTATTCAATAATTTCATCACCTTCTGCACTGACATAGGCAAACCGGCATCAGAGACCACCTGGGGAGTGTGGGCCACACACCTCCTTCTATGACTTCCACACCACAACCTCCAAGAACAATCTCCTAACTTACAACAGCAAGAAACAGGTGGTAGGGCCAGCCCGGTGGCGCACTCGGTAGAGTGCGGCACTTGGGAGTGCGGCAGCGCTCCCGCCGAGGGTTCGGATCCCATATAGAGACCGGTCCGCTCACTGGTTGAGCACGGTGCGGGCGCAACACCGAGGGTTGCAATCCCGTTGCCAGTCGCGGTGCGGGCGTGACACTGAGGGTTGCGATCCCGTTACCGGTCACAAAAAAAGACAAAAAGGAAAAAAAAAAAAGAAACAGGTAGTAATCCCTGAGGTTGTTAGCAGGCCAGAGGAAAACCAAATGCAATCAGGCCAGAACCACCCAGCACCTGGTGACACCAGCAAGGACGGTGTGCAGGCACAGCTGACGTCAGCCCTGGGGAGGGAGCCTAGCAAGTACTCTTCCTGACATCAAAATCAAAGGTACAGAGGCTAAACAGGTTTCTACAGAAGAGATAGCCAGGCCTGGTGTGCTGTAATCATGACAACAGAGCAGCAACAAGCCTTTGTCCATGTTTGGACCAGGCAGCATAAACTCTTACCATGAACCATGCTATCTAATCATCACTACAAGACTGTCACATCATAACTAATGTCCCCATATTATACAAAAAAATTAAGTAACATGCCCAAGGGCACAGGAGGCAGAAACCAACCCTAAGACTGCACAATCTGATCCACAGAGCATACTGTATACTTTAACTCCTACACACATAGCCTCCCACACAAACACCAGCAGGGAGCAGAACACACATCTGTGACAGTCAGATGTGTTGCGACTGGTTCTGTCCACTTTCCTAGCTGGGTACAAAAGTCTACAGAACAGCACCTCCTGGCTGTGCTTCTCACTCTTGTTTGACAAGAGGTGAGCAGCTGTCCCACAGGATGAGGGGGAAGGCTCTGAAAGGGAAGCTCGTTCCTTTCCCTGAGGACCCCCAGACCTTTGGCAGGTGCCCTGAGACTGCAGGGGATAAGCAGATTCCAGTACCCCCACAGCCACTCTTTTTTTATTGAATCAAAATTGATTATACATATTTTGGGGGTTCAACATTGAGATACTTTATAAGTCATAATTATTCTTTATGCTCCTTGCCCCAAATCCCCCTTGGTCCAGTCTCCTTCTCCATGCCTTGGGTCCCGGGTTGGACCCTGAGGTGCTGGTGTAGTGTGCCTGGTTGAGGGGGGGGGGGTCCGGTCCCGAGGTCCATGTCTTGGGTCCCTGTGTGGGCCCAAGGCGCCCCACAGCCACTTTCTAGAACTATCCTCATCTCCAGAAGAGTTCAGAAAGGGCTACAGTCTCAAAAACGGCTAGTGGAGAAAGCCCACTGACAGCTGGCAGTGAAGCATGCAGTACCGCTGGAGGTGATCCCAAGGACGCACAAATCCTCTGCCCTGTGCCCCTGCCCAGGAACCCCCAGGCTCTGCAGAGGGAGGAGCCAACTATGAGGAAGAACGACTTTCCCTCTCTTCCTCTGCTCCTGCCTCCACTTACTTCCTCCACGGGTGCTGTTTCCTGAGCCCTGGTCATCTAATTATGTGGACCCTGGCACAACCAGAACACTTGCACTCAGGGTTTCACTTCCGAACGGCAGCCACCACCATTCACACGGCATTTGGGGCAAATCTAGCTTGGTCACTACAGCAACACTGCCATAGACAAGGCAGGTGCCAGCTCCAGATGGCTGGAGGGACTCGGCCCTGGCCTAGTGGGCACAACCAGACTCAAATCCCACACTCGGAGACTACACCAGGTAGCCTCATATTCTGAAGTCACCTGGAGTTTTGAAACAAAACAGATTGTGCCAACATGAGAAGGAATGGGCCCAAGGTAAAGCACAGTGGGAAGACTGCTGCTTTCTTTGTAGGCAGTCAAGGAAAGAGGAAAGCCATCCTGAGAGGTGACTGTCTGGAAGGTGGCCTGCAAAGAGGGAGCATGGGAGGGAGGGGACTGCCTAGTGCACACTGGAGTGAGCATCCTGGGAACAAGGGCAAGGTGGCCAGGGACTGACAGCAGACCGTAGGCCTGGTTCTTCACGGATGGATGGAGGGAAAGACACTTGAGCCTAAGAGCCCCATCATCTTATGACATTTTCAGAAGGAGGGTGACAGTCATTTTCAGCCTCCATCTTAGTCTACTGCCCAGTAGCAGCCGCCAGTCGAGGCTCCCACAAGAGCCACCTTTCCCCTCGCCTGCCCTCAGGAGGCCTCACATCCCCTCTGCTCTCCACCCATCTCACTGCCTGCCCCACTTCAGCCTCCTGGGCTACCTCTCATTTCTCCAAATACTGGAAGGGGCATGTCCTGCCTCATTCCCCAGGTAACCTCATTCAGTCTCGTGGCTTGAAAGACCATGGACATATGGTGATCCCCAAATGTACAATTCTGGTCCCAGCCACCTCCCTGAACTGCCTACCTGACATCTCCACACAGATATGTTGGGGTACAAGCCACCCTCCCGTCCTGCTTGGACAACTGTGTTGGGCTCCTCTCTGGTGATCCCCAAATGTACAATTCTGGTCCCAGCCACCTCCCTGAACTGCCTACCTGACATCTCCACATAGATATGTTGGGGTACAAGCCACCCTCCCGTCCTGCTTGGACAACTGTGTTGGGCTCCTCTCAAAAACAGCTTTGTAAACACCTTGAATCTATTTCTAGTGACTTATTTTTCATTTCTTCTACAAACCAACAGGACAGTTTGCTAGCATTTTTCATTCATTCAACAATTATTGAACACCTATGTGAGCCAGGAAACATATGAGAATGCTGGGGAGTCAGGAGGAGGGAAAGCCACTGCTCCTGCTCCCAGGCTGAGTCTCTGAGATGACTGAAGAGTTGACAGGTAAATGCCACCAATGTGGAGGGGTGGCCTGGGATGAGGGTAGGGTGCTCAGTATGCAGGAGACACAGACACAGCTCTGCGTGGGTGGGACATGGGAAGTACAGCCAGAGCAGCTTACCAGGGCCAGAAGCAGCCAGGTGGGGGGGAACAGACTAAGAAGACATGTGAAAATAACCCTTGTCAGAGAATTTTAGGAAACAAAAGCAGTTCAGAATTGCATAGGAGAGGCAAACTGGACATTTCATTCATTCATGAATGACTGCATGTGGAGGGTCTGAGGATGGTGGGGGTCTGTCAGGGGAGTGTGGCAGGCTCAGATGCTCTGAGGGTATATAATGAGGGGTGCTATCTGCTGGCATTCCTGTAACAAAGTGAAGGACACGCCTGGAAGCCAGGTAGGCAGCACTGGAAAGGGGCGGCACTGTCCAGGAGGTGCCGACATCAGGCCTGAGACTGAGGATGGACGGGGTGTGACAAAGACAAATATCAAGCTAATGACTCAGCCAGCTGAGTGCAGGATGGTGCCTTTTACTAATACAGGACACTCCAGGAGGTGCCGACATCAGGCCTGAGACTGAGGATGGACGGGGTGTGACAAAGACAGATATCAAGCTAATGACTCAGCCAGCTGAGTGCAGGATGGTGCCTTTTACTAATACAGGACACCAGGAGCGGGGAGCAGGTGAGCTCCGTTCTAAACATGATGTTTCTGAGGTGCCCGTGGGACCAGTGGAAGCCCTCCCGCAGGCAGGCAAGTAGAGACTGGAAGCATGAGAGAAAGGGAGCGGCTGAGACACGTGTTTGGAATCCATGGCATACAATCATTGATTGCCCACAGGGGTGGAAGACTCGCCCAGTAAGAAATGGTCAAGTCAAACCTAAGCAACACTAAGTGCATGGGGCAGACACAGGAAGAGAAGACCACAAAACTGAGAAGTGACCAGAGAAGAGGACAGCAACAGCACAGTGCTCGGAGCCAGAGGAGGAGGACACCTCAGAGAGGGAGTGACTGCAGCGTCAGCGTGGCTGAGAAGAGAAGGGTCCCCCAGGCTCAGCAGCAGGAGGCAGACAGGGCCTTAGATGAGCTCTCTGAGGGCCGGAGAGGCACTGCAGATGCACAATGAACAAGGAGTCACTCTTTGGTCAAGGGAAAGAGGTAAAAAAAGATGTGTTTGCTTTAAGGACTGGAGAAACATGAATAGGTTTGACCGCTGATGGAAGAAAACCCAATCAATGGGAGGGGCTGAAAAACGGCAGCAGAGCGGGGGGGCGGGGCTGCTCCTGATGAACAGGGCTCCACGGAGGTGGGAGGGTAGGGCCTGGGCCCCGGAGAGGCAACGTGTTTTGCTGAGCAGGGTATAGGTGCAGTGACACGTGGGCAGGTGGCTAGAGGCAGACACCTGCGGGTTGTTTTATTCTGCACAGCAGGAGGCAGGGGCGTCTGCTGGGCAGGAAGGCCCTGGCCTGGAAGAAGTGGGGGCTGCAGAGGGCTCCAAGGGAGACTGAGCGAGGATTGCAGGTGGGGCAGGGCCCACCAAGACCAGCGACAGCAGTGGCAACAGCACCGGGGAAGGCAACACAGTCCTTACTCTTCTCCAAAAGTCAGCAGCCATGGCTGGATATATGGATGTAGGCGTAGGAGTCTGCCAGGATCTCACGGAAAGGCAAACTAAGGAAGCAGAGAATTCTGACCAGTCTTTAGTTAAAGCTGGGTCCACACTACATGCAAGGAAATGAAGGGCAGCAGCGAGGGGTGAAGAGAGGGTCAGAGGTTGGGTCTCCTGAAGGCAGGGCCAAACAAGCAGCCTTAAACCTGCTCACTTCTCATGTGGCCTCTCCGAACTCTAGACCCCATCTGTATATTCAAGACAATAAATGTGCCACCTGGGCTGTGTGAGGATGAAGT